GAGATCAGTGGGGAAGAAGAACAGCTGGAGCCTGTTCCCAGTGTGCGCATGCACAGAGCTGCCAGAAGAAGGGAAGAATTAAGGAACAAGGGTCGACTTGGGAGTAAGGGCACAGGTAGATGGTGAATAGCACCTCCCATAGGGCATAAAAGAGGAGCAAAAGGGGAGTTTTGCAGGAAACAATTCGTTTATTCCTGCACTCTTGCCAAGTATTGTGGCGTCTGAAAGATATCGGCCTGGCAGTTCTTCTCCAAGTCTGTAATGGCGAACTCTCTTGAAAGACCGTTGGCCGGGACTTTGCTGGAGAGGAATTCACTGTCAATTAAATAAAAGGGGTTTATCGGGATGGGGACTCAGGCTTCGTGCTGTTGGGGTAGCCTCGATCAGAACATAAGGGAATGTGAGAATGGCCTTGAGCCAAGAAGGGTTGCCTTAGGAACAATCGGGATAAGAGACGGCCTAGCCCTGAACTGCATAACAGGCAGAGAAAGGAACCTCAGGCTGTAAAAGAGACAGTGGGAGTATTTGTCCTTTCAAACCTGCAACATTCGGTTACGTGTAGCCGCTAGTCTATGCAGAACCTTCTTCACACGGCTCCCCTGTGCCCTCAACGCCTTCGGTCAGGTCTGCTGAATGCAGGTTGTCCTCAAGTTACAACTATTCACTTAATGACCCTTGTGGAAGTTACAACCTGCAGAGAAAAAGTGGATCATTTTTTGTTTCACGCTTATGCCCGCGTTCAAAATTTGGACAATTTTGGCCATGACTCGTACTTAAACGACCGTTGCCGTGTCCCGGGCTCTTTTTGTTAGCTTCTGACAAAACGAAGCCAACGGAGGAAGCCAGGTTCTCTTCACAACTGTGTCACTGACTTCCCGAGCCGAGCGGTTCCCTTAGCAACAGCCGCAAGGAAAAGTTGTAAAAGTTCCACGAACGATGGTCTCGCTTAGCAACAGACATTTTGAGCTCAATTGTGGTTGTAAGTCAAGGGCTACTTTCAGGGCCGGAGAAGGGCGACCAAGGTACGTAGCCAATTGTTCTGATCCAGCTTCCCAAACTGGACAAACCCTCGGAAGTTCAATCAATTAGGAGCGCCAACAGGCCCGGCAAAATGTTTCTCTCTCACCACAGGCTGACAAGTCCGTCCAGCCAGAAGAAGAATAGTTGTCTGCCACATCTATTCATCTCCGGCCCCTGGCTTTTATTCCCAGAGCTACGGTGGGGCTTCGCTAGCAGTGGTGACTTTTCCGTCCTAAGGACCGGCTCATAGATTTCCACTGTTCTCCTCTCCTCTGCCTTCTGTGCATCCTCGCGTCAGGCACTGGACCCAGCTGTTCCTCCTCTTCCTCATCAGCCACCTCCACACCTGGGGGCTGTTGACTCTCCATCTGAGGGCTGATGGATGACCCAGGCTCCGCCCCTCTCTCTCTCTCTCTCTCTCTCTCTGCCGGCTCCCTCTTCCCCCTCGGAGCTCTCGGGTTGCCTTAACGCTTGTTGTGGTTCGCTGGCAGCCAGCGCAGAAGGCAGAAGTATCAGACAGTGAGGACGAAAGAGAACCAGTCAGGGGGTCTGGAGAGGACTTGGATGAGGGTCCTACATCTGATGCAGAGGTGGGGCCAGAGCCTCCGGAGTCTGGCAGCAGCGAGGCAGAGGAGCAGAGGAGCCTGTTCCCAGTGCGCATGTGCGCAGAGCTGCTAGAAGGCGAGAGCAGCTGAAGCAGAAGGGGCTATTCAGGAGTAAGGCTGGGAGGTGATTGCCCCTCCCCTAAGGGATAAAAGTCAGGCCAAGATGATGAAACCTTTGCAGGAAGCAAGGCAGTACAGGAATCTCTGAGTTCTTCGTGAAACTTCTGTATTCTGCTTGTGTTTTTTTTTCTGGGTTTTTGACTTGGTTTATGTGAGCCTTAATTGGACTTCTGGTTTTTTTGCCGGCGTTCAACCGCACTGAAGAACATACCCTTATCTGGAGGAACTGTATCTAGTGAGTTTTGGCTAGGAATACAAGTAATTCCCAGCGTCGCATTAAAGTAGCTTTTCCTTTTCAATTCAACTGGTGTTTTATTAAGTTTGATGAAGCCTGGGTCAGACCAATGCTGATCCTGACTCCCACACTTCCTGCTCCTCCTTTGATTCGGCTGCTGGAGGGGCCGGTGGCCAACTGGCCACAACACAAATGCTTCAATGCACCAGCAGGGCCCCCGATGCTCCGTTGCCATGTCCATTACGTATGTATGCATGGACACACACACACCCCAACCGCAGCTTCAGAGGGTGCCACAGCGCCAGGATTTTCCCTTGCAGCTGTAGAGCAATTAGCTAATTGGAAGCACGCTAATCGCCGCAGGAACTAATCGCTGACGCTGCCAGGTTAAAGCAGGCACCTTCGAAGAAGCAATGTCTAATGAGGAGGTAATTGGCCCCAACAATTAACACAATTTGCACAGAGCGTGGGCGAGGAGGCGGGGAGGACAGCTGTCACCGTACCTGCTTAGAGATAACATTGCCAGAGCGTCTCTTGCCATCCCATCATCAGAGATAGGGAGACGTCCCCGTTCACCCTGCTTGCAAAGAGAGCGCTCAGGTTCACACAACCTTATGACGTATTACGCCGGGCCCGGTGTCCACCGCATGCATTAGAAGTCCGCAGCGTAGAGCAGCGGTCCCCAACCTTTCCAGCTTCGCAGACTGGCCGGCGGGCAGGGGGGGGAAGGGGTGGTTCCATGTGAGTGGCATGCACACGCCCACGCCTCCATTTGCACAAGCAGAGGGAGCACACGGGCGCCGCTCACACAAATGAAGCTTCACGCAAGCGGAGCTGCCTACGCGCAGGCATCTACTTGCCCGCTGCTTGTGCGGCCTTGGTTCCAAACGGGCCACGCCTCGGTAGTGGGCCTCATCCTGGGGGGGCAGGAAGGTTTGGGGACCCCTGTCATAGAGGATACTTAGTACAACAGCAGTGGGTTGTGAGAAAGATCTTGGGAGGCGGGATGAAAAAACGCTGACCGATAAGAGACAATCGAGACCTCGGCTGCATAAAGGGCAAAGAAAGACCCCCCCCCCTAGTTTCTCAGGAGACAGTGGGAGATTTATACTTTCAGACCGGCAAGATTCTGTTCGTGCAGCTTTACAATAAAGTAAAATTAACTGATCTGATTGCGTTTCTTGTCTGCTGTTGGGAACAGCAACGGGGACAGGCTCTCCCTATTGGAGGGGTGTGTACATACAGCTATTCCTCAGCTTACAACCACCATTGAGCACCAAACTTCTGTTGCTAAGTGAGACACTGGGGGGGGTGTAAGAGAGTTTTACCCCCTTTGTTGCCACAGTTGTGAAGTTAGTAACCCGGTTGTTTGGTGAATCTGCCCTCCCCGTCGACGTTGCTTGCCCCTGTTATGATATGTACAGAATAACCCTTGAGTAACAAGGATATGCACATGGAAAGGTTTATGAGAGTAGCGATGAATAATTATTCAGCCACACACAGCGACCCTGAATTGAGTTAAAATTTACTTTAAGAAATAGCACAGTCCAATAAACCGTCCAATCATATACATTTAACAGTACAAAGAATATCCAATTACAAAGTCTTCTTATCAGTTGCCTTTGTCATTTACCGTAAACAAAGATATTAAAACATATGCACAGCATAAATACAACAGAGAATCTTAGATAGCAACATAATGTCAGAGAGAGAGAGAATGTCAGAGAGAGCAAGCCATGATCTCTAGCTCCCTCTTATGGCAATTCGCAATACAATCAACCGATCGGAACATAGTACAAATCAATACAGCGACTTTGTCTTAAAGCTACAAACATACATTGTTGGTTTATAGATTGCCAACCCAACTAATCGATGTAAAGATTCCTAACTGCCCCAAAAGGGGATCACATGATCTTGGGACACACAGTGGTCATAAATACAATTCCAGGCGTGTACAGCAATAACTCAGCACAGTTGGGAAGACACCAGGAACGCAGATCAGCCACGTCGATACAAGATAAACTCACGTTTGTTCCCAGCAGCTGCCGCTCTCAGCATGCATCTCTTTTAAACTCACTTTCCAGCTACAGCTAATGAAGGGAATCAGGACCCTTTCCTCCCCCCTAAGCCACACAACTCACATTGCTCCCTTCTCTGTTCCTCCCTGCGTGTCCTAGGATGAAGAGGCCTGGGTCTTCCTCCGAACTTTCTCTCCCTTGTTCTACCTATTCCCTGCTCTGCCCAGCCGGACTTTGCCCTTCCCCAGTTTCCTCCACAGCCAAACGGAGCCGCACTCCCGCTCCCTGTCAGCTGCTCAGCTTCCTCCTCCGAATCAGATTCCGACAGGGGCATGACAGTTACAACAGCACTGAAAAAAGTCACTTAGGACCATTTTTTTTACCCTTACGACCACTGTAGCTTCCCCATGTCACGTGATTAGAACTCAGATGCTTGGCCACTGACTTGTATTTATGATGGTCACAGTTTCCCCAGGGATCACGGGATCCCCTTTTGCAGCCTTCCGACAAGCAAAGCCAACCAGGGAAAGGCAGATTCGTTTCACCACCATGTTACTCACTTAGGGACTGCAGCAATTCACTTAACAACCGTGGCCAAGAAAGTTTGCAAAAACGGAGCAGAGCAGCTCTCTCGCTTAGCAATGGAAACTTCGAGCTCGATTCTGGCCATAAGTTGAGGACTACCAGCATTGCATTTGCAGGCAAGAGGCACTGGGTTCGAGACTTGGCCTCTGCAACTTGCTTCGGGTGGACAGTCCTGGAATAGATGCCTGCCTCTGATGCGGTAGAGAACAAGGGGTGGGGAAGAGTGCAGTTGCCCAGGACAATGGGCGGCGGTGTAGGGGGTGTTGTTTTAGCCATGGACTTGAGTGCTCAGGACTGTCACTTAACCAGGGGTGTCAAACGTAATGTCAGGACTCCAACAAATCCACCCCCATTCAAATTGTAAGTCTCTAGCCACATCTCTCAGAGTTAAAAAATTGATTTATTTGGAGTGACCATGTTGGCGTTGACTGGATGGCAGCCAATACTAAAATACATCCTTCATTTCCCCCTTGACCCCGGTCTTCCACCTGGATGTATATTCTCCAATGGGACACATCCATAGCCAAGAGTCATCAATCATGCTTTCTTGCGCTCCGACAATTTTGGGCTGCCAGGGTGATTATCTAGGCACTTGAGGAATTTCTGCCGGTAGCTAAAAAAGACCAGAAGAGTATCTTTTTAGTTGACACACAAGGCCTGCGGGCTGGATTCAGCCTGCGATGTGGTCGGAACCAGTCCTGGAAAACGTAACAAGTCGGCCCGCATCACTTTGGCCCGGTCTACCCAATGCGAAGAGGGACCAGGGACCAGTTTTGTGGAGAGAGTTTTTCCGTAGGCCGGTGGTTTCGCGTGCTTCTTGAATCTCATGGGTGGGACTTTGCTTGTTTGTACGGACCGGTTCCTGGCACGCCGTGGCTCCATACTGGTCCACCACCGATTGGGGATTGGGGACACCCGCATTAAGCTACTTGTCTGTGTCTCTCCTCTGTGTGCAGCGTATTTGCTGAGCTGTGCCTTCCCCACGCGGCCGGCGTACGGTGACGTCTCTGTCACCAGCACTCACCCGGGTGGCCAAGCGTGTTTCTCCTGCGTCGTCGGCTACCAGCTGGTGGGGAAGCCCTGCCTGGAATGCTTCAATGCCACCCATCCCTTCTGGAGCAACCAGGAGCCCACCTGTATCGGTGAGTCAGCGGGAGATAGGGCAGCGGAGTAGGGAAGGGGGTGTCCCACGCCAGACCTGGACCCCACCCGCTCGCGTTACCTGTTGGCTATCACCTTACGCCCACTGTGCTTCGCTGCTACGCGATGACAGACCGCCATGAACCACGAGGAAGGGGTAGGAGGAGGGCGAAGCTTGGGAAACCGAGAGTCGTGACTGTACGACCTCCAGGCACTGCCTCAAGGTCATCCAGCTGGAAAAAGGAAGGAGACGCACCGCCTCCAGGCGGTGCTCGGAGTGACCGTTGGGAAAACATCTCGCATGCTTCGATTGGTTACAGTGGGGTGGACGGCAAGGGACAGTTACAGGGGTGGAAAAGTAGAATTTAGGGATTTGGGTGCGCGATCCTCACATCTAGCTTTGCGCTCCCGCCGTACATTTGATCTCTAATAAAATTATATCTTTCACAACAAAGGGAGCCGAATTCTTTTTTTAAGAGTTCAGGTTGTAGCCAGTTTGTTCTTGCCCGTTCCGTGGTCTTCTTGCAGCGGCGTGTGGAGGGGTGATCCGGAATGCCACCACTGGGCGCATCGTGTCGCCGGGTTTCCCGGCCAACTACAGCAACAACCTCACCTGCCACTGGGTGCTGGAGGCGTCCCCAGGGCAGCGGGTACACCTCCATTTCGAGAAGGTCTCCTTGGCAGAGGATGATGACAGGTGGGCCCTCGGAGGACGGGGGGCAAGGGTGGGGGGGGGGGGGGCTGCAGAGGGGCTGTGTTCAGGGCTTTGGCCCTTTGAGGTAGACGAAGGTGAAAGAGGGTGCACCTTGCTGGCTGGGGGATTCTGGGAGTGGAACCCCACCCATCTTAAACCAAACTGGAGAATTCTGGGAGTGGAAATCCATCCCCTCTTAAAGCATCCTGGCTGGGGGATTCTGGGAATGGAAGCCCTCCCCTCTAAAAGCATCCTGGCTGGGGGATTCTGGGAATGGAAGCCCACCCCTCTAAAAGCATCCTGGCTGGGGGATTCTGGGAGTGGAAGCCCACCCCTCTTAAAGAAGGTTGACTGGGGGATTCTGCGAGCGGAAGTCCTCCCCTCTTAAAGGATGCTGGCTGGGGGATTCTGGGAGTGGAAGTCTGTCCATCTTAAAGAAGGTGGGCTGGGGGATTCTGGGAGTGGAAGTCCTCCCCTCTTAAAGCTGCCAAGGTCAAGAAACCCTGTCCTGGGGCAATGGCCTTGCCCCTCTGCAAGATGGAGGATCCCTCTCTCTGCTGCCCCAATCCTGTAAACCTGGAGAGCCTCAGAAAGGAAATCTGATCCTCTTCGTTGCAGGCTGATCATCCGTAACGGCAACAACATCGAGGCGCCTCCTGTGTATGACTCGTACGAGGTCGAGTATCTGCCTATCGAGGGGCTGGTCAGTACCAGCCGTGGTTTTTTCATCGAGTTTTCCACGGATAGTGGCGGCGTGGCAGCTGGGGTAGCCCTCCGCTATGAGGGTGAGTGGTGGCGTGGTAGCATATGAGGCATGTTCCCCTTGGTTGGCATGTTCCCCTATGCCAACCTATCGCAGGGGGTTGGACTAGAAGACCTCCAAGGCCCCTTCCCAACTACTGGTGGGATTCAAAAATCCAAACAACTGCCCAGTTGCTGGATGGGCATTGCCATGGTGGGCGTGGCCTACTGGGATTTTGGGAGGGCTGTTTTTCACCTTTCCCAGAATCCGGAGGCTTCCCTCGGGCCTCTGGGAGGATGAAAACGGCCTTCCCTGGGCTCCAGAGGCCCTGTGGGCCTGTTTCTAAGCTTCCAGAACTTTCCATACGGCCATTTTTCATCCTCCCAGAGCCTCCTGCGCTTCCCTGCATCCAAAATGGGCCCTGTGGAGACTGGGGAGGGGAGGGGAGGGGTGGGCGAGGCCAGCCGGTCAGTTCAACTACCGGTTCAGCGAACCAGATGTAAATTTAACATCCAGTTTGCCTGAACCGGCCCGAAGCGGCTGAATCCCACCCCGGCTTCCCCACTCCGTTAAACCTGTTTACAGGTTTAACTTCGGCTGGCTGAGGCTGATGGGAACTGTAGTCCAGCAGCCAGCAGGGGCCAGTCCCGTTAAAAGGAGACCAAGCCTTCCTTGTCCCCGCTCTGCCCTTTGCAGCTTTCAGGCCCGGTCACTGCTACGAGCCCTTTGTCAAGTACGGGAACTTCACCTCCAGCAACGGGAGCTACAAAGTGGGCACCACCGTGGAGTTCACCTGTGAGCCCGGCTACACCCTGGAGCAAGGCTCAGTCATCATCGAGTGCGTGGATCCCTCCAACCCCCAGTGGAATGAGACGGAGCCGGCCTGCCGAGGTGAGGGATGGGGAAGGACACGACGGGAGGAAGTAACAAGAGTTGATTTCCCTTGTGGCAACTATAAGGCTGATTCTAGGCTGCTGCCTCTTTTGACTCCACCCTCAGGCTCTGCCACTCCTTCTCTTACCTTTCTTTCCTTCTAATCTTTATCCCATTCACGTCCTTCCTTCCTTCCTTCCTTCCTTCCTTCCTTCCTTCCTTCCTTCCTTCCTTTTTAATTCATCTCCTTTCCTCCCTCCCTCCCTCCTCCTTCCTTCCTTCCTTCTCTCTCTTCTTTGACCCTTTCTTATGTTCCTT